CCCCCCCCAGAGGAAATCTGGAGGCATTTAGCAACTCTGGAGGCATTTTTGGTTGTTAACTGAGAGATTGCTACTGGTATCAGGTGGGTAGAAACCCACAAGATTGTAAACCCACTAAATGCTGAACATTTACATGCACAGTACAGCCCTCAACAACAAAGCATTATCTGGCCCAAAATGTTTAAGGTATTAATCTAAGAGTGTGTCTTTCTCTCCTTTATTTCCCTCTCTTTAAAATTATTTTGGCAACTCTTATGTTTTTATCCTTGTGTATAAATATTTATTAATTTAAGGACAATGGACATCTTTGCCCAGGATTTTTTAAGTTGCCTTTTAGATCCCCTAGTGAAGTTTTATCATTTTCTTCAGAACTTTATTTTTCTTAAGTATTTCTTGCCAGTTTAGGTATTTAGGTATCTAATATTTTTACTATTCTACTTAACACTTTCTTAACACTTCTTAGCTTTGTATATATGAAAGCTTTTGATTTTTTAAAGCATCTTTACAATCTGGCTCTGCTCTTGGATTCTTTATTTCCGATGATTTTTTACTTGACCCTCTTGAGTTTTTGAAGTAACCATAATCATATGCAAAGAACTATTTTATTTTTAATAATCGTAGCTGTTTTCTTTTATTGCTTATAATGCTTAATAATGACAGTATCCTGGCCATCCAGTAAAAAAACAATAATACAGTAGAGCATAACATAATTAATACAGTAAATCTTATAAAAAATTTTATTACAGTATTTTAGAGTCAAATAAAATTGCTTATACAAAGGATCAGCAATTTAAAACTAACTGCTTTTGTTCCAATTTTTTAGTTTAATATGTACTGGCCAGTATAGTAGCCACTAAGCATAGTAACTATTGAGCGCTTGAAATGTGACAAGTCCACATTGAGGTGTGCTTTAAGTATAAAATTCACACCTGATTTCAAGGTCTTAGCACAACTAAAGAGAATGATTTCATTAATAATTTTTAAAATATTAATTACATATTAAAAATAACAATATGGATTTATTTGGTTAAATAAAATGTGTTCAAATTAATTTCACCTATTTCATTTTACTTTTTAAATGTGGCTGCTAGAAAATATTAAACTATATTATGTGGTTCACATATACCTATTGGACAGAGCTGGTTTAGGTAATCACAAGTTGACTTATATGTTTACTTTTCATATTTGTTTCTATTATATAGGATGTCCCCAAAAATGTATACACACACTTTGAATAATTATAAAGACATTGTTTATTAAAATAAATACATTTCATTTTCAAAATTGGGCTATCAGCTGTTAAAGTGTATATACATTTTTTGGGGGACACCCTGTATTCCCTCAAGGTATAAAAAGTAGGCATCAGATAATTTTTCAGTGACTACATAGTTGTCCAAGATCTCACAATGTTTGTTTTAATGGAAAAGTTGAGAATCAGGCCAGAGAAAATATAATGAACAATTTCTTGATAATTTTTACTACTTCCAAACATGAATTATTAAATGTTCAATATATAGGTCAATATGAATCTTCTCTGGGAAGTTGCTAGACTATTTTTCTCCCTGGGTCCTTGCAAAGACATTAGATAGAATCTGAGCTTTTTTGGAGTCACCTGGATAAAACATTATCCAGATACAAATTCTGATCCCCAAATGATCTTGTGACTATTTAATTCTGTGACCAGTTTTTTCCCCCTTCTGTTTTCTATCTTTTTATGCTTTTCATTTCCTCTTTGTTGTATTTTTATTTTGTTTTTGTCTTGTTTTAAACTTGTTCTCATACCAACTGTATTAGGAATATATGAGAATTATGTAAGTGAACAAAGGTTTAACTCTGACTTACTGTTGGCCACCTGAATGTGGTTGGTCTATCAATAATACCTGACATTTATTGAGTATTTACTATAGGCAAAGCATAGTCTCAAGCATTTTATACACATTATCTCCTTTAACTGTCTTTTGCAGATGGGGAATTTGAAGCTTATAAAGATTTAATAACTTGCCCTATGTTATACACTAGTAGGCAGAATTTGGATTCAAACCTAGGTTTGACTCAGAACTTCCTCTCTTAAATACTGTACTGTTTGGGTTAAAGTATTGATGAAGTATTGGGTTGCAGACACACAATGGGCAAGGCTTTGTAGTCATTGAATGCTCCAAAGGTATCTTTCTGAGGCTGAGCCATGCAAAAATTTATAGTGAGAGAATTATGAAGAGAAAGCAAAACTTGAAGAAATAGAGCTTTATCCTTTTGTAAAAGGATAAAGCTTTGCTCCTTTCATTAAAAAAAAAAAAAAAACCACAAGATTTTTTTCTGCTAAAACACTGTTGAGTAAGATAATATTATTTCAGTTTGAAATTCTTCAGTAATTTCATGTTTGGTTTTAAATCATTAGGAATTCTAAAAAGTCCTTCCACAGGTCTGATTAGGTGCCTCTTTAGACCTTGCCATTTTTTTTTTTTAACATATCTTTATTGATTTCAGATAGGAACAGAGAGAGAGAGAGAGAGAAAAACATCAGTGATGAGAGAGTCATTGATTGGCTGCCTCCTGCATTCCACCTGCTGGGGATCAAGCCTGCAAACCGGCCATGTGCCCTGACTGGGAATCGAACCAAGATCTGCATCATACGTCAATGCTCAGCCGCTGAGCCATGCTGGCTGGGCTAAACCTTGCCATTTTAAATTATTGGACACTGTTCAAGTCAGTGTTTCTTTTATCACTATGTGGATATTGTATTTTAACAATCTGCTACTTATTAATAATGCCTGTTTCCGCTACTTTTTTAGGGTCCTGGTTGCTGTTCCGATCTTGCAGTTTCTTTTCACTATGTTGATCCTAAAACTATGTATGAGTTAGAATACCTCGTTTATCATCTTCGTCCATATGGATATGCATACAGATATCAGCCTGCCTTACCTGAGAATATTCTAAAGGAAATAAGTCGAGCATACAAAAATGAAGATCCAAAGTAAAATTGGGAAACTTTGAAAGAAAAGCATAAATGAACAGAGGTTAAATTTCTAGCATTGCACTGAAGAACTTCTGCATTTCTGATATTGAACACTGGAAGCCCAGTGAAGAATTCTTTCTAAGTGAACATTTCATATTAGAAATCTTCATATGAATGACTGTAAACTGAAGCTTTAATGAGCTGTGAAGTCTGTTAAAATGTGTTTTGATGCAGTAATATATATATGAAAAACTTGTGTTTTTATAATGTTGGCCAGGCAGGGGGACTAGAAAAGAGATTTTGTTACCTGTTTTTGACCACATGTAATATTTTCACTGGGAAGCTAAACAGTTAAATTTGCTAAAACTACACTGCACCATATTAGTAACACACACATGACGCTAAACAGATCTGCCTTAACATTTTAGAAGGAAGTATTGTTCAGTATTTATAAACTCAAGACCTGAATTTATATATGCAGTATGGTATAAATGAACCAATCCTCCCCCCCAGCACGCACCCATATGCAGTTTTTGGCTCTCTAAATTTCTCTGTGACTATTTTAAATTGGCAATATCTCTTTCAGAAGAAGATAGAAAAAGAATGGCACTCATCCTAATGTGCATTAATAAAATCACATTTTGAAATGATCATTGGCCCTTGACTGTAATAAATATATACTTGGTTCTAATTAATAGTTAATCTTTTACAGGCACACCTCGTTTTATTGCACTTTGTTTTATTGTGCTTCAAAGATGTTAGGTTTTTTTACAAACTGAAGGCAAGACCCTCCACGAACAAAAGATTACAACTCGCTTTATTGCGAGACTTGCTTTATTATAATGGTCTGGAACCAAACCCGCTATATCTCTAAGGTACTATGCTGAGTCCCTGTTGTCTCTTCTGATTATGTTTAACCATTCTTGGATACCATTTTCAACTATTAATATTTATTTACTCAAAGCATTAATAGCATTTGATTAACATGGATTTTTTAATATCCCCATATTTACCCATTGTTAATTATGGGTAACTAATAAATAGTAAATTTAATGCTTTTGGGGGAATGCTTTTCTTATATCAGTGCCACTCTCAGGAATTACTAAGCAACACTTTAATTAATTATTTAAAACGCTTTCCAACTACATAATTACAGTTCCTTTCATTCTTATCCTGTTGAGAGATGAGAACTTGTTTGTGCCTTTCATAATTTGTTTAAAGCAGTTTTAAAATTCATTTTTAGGATCTGAGGTAGTTATTAGTAACACTGGCAAAATAATTTGAGTGCAAGATTTTGACCAGAGTTAATTAAAAACATTAGAAAATACAAAGTGCTTAAACAAGCTGAAATATGTCAAGATATTAAAAGACTAAATCATTAATTTATGAATAACATCTGAATTTTGATGCTTGCTTACTATGTACAGGCTGGGGCAAAAGTAGGTTTACATTTGTTCATAAGGAAAATAATACAATAATTATTAAATAATAAAATAATAAATGCTGTGTTTTGAGTACTCACAGCTGTAAACCTACTCTGGCCACACCCTCTTTTTTGGGATGATGGTTTTGCTTATGGGTGGATAATTCCGATTGAGCAGAATACTCATTCAAGACTGTCATCAGAAACATGTTCATGAATGTTTTGTTCTAATTTTAGTGACCCTCTATTTAAAGACTTTCTGGAAGAAAAAATTTTTTAATTTTTGTTATCTTTAGCAATATTACCTGAATGTATCATAACAGAGTATTTTATAGACTTCTGTAAGATTATCTTAAATGGTACAAATGATTTACATTTCTCTTATGTTTATCGTTATGCTAATTTTACATGGCTGTCACACCATTAACTCTGCTGCTTAGCTAAATAGTTTATATTTATTGTGCCAAACATGTCAAAACCATGACCTCTTTGGATGGTATATTTGAGAGGATGTTCTCCTTAGTGGCCAGTTATGGATACTCCATCCATGTAGTGAAAACTCTAATTTTTACCTATTAAATTTGTTTTTATTGTTTTCGTGATGGTATCATATGACAAAATTTCAAGGCATTCATTCTGTTCTTGAACAGCTCTTCACCTTGGTGTGGATATGAATTTATTTAATTCCATATATGCTACTTTTTTGTACTAGAAGTATAAATGATTTATCATAAATATCCACAAACCTTAAAATTTACTCATAGGAAATTAACATTGTGATAAATCTTGGGGTCCCGAGTCAGACTGCCTGGACTTAAATTCTTGCTTCATCACTTACTAGTTTTATAACCTTGAGTAATTTAATCAATCTCTCTGTGCCTCACTTTCCTCATCTGTAAATTAGGGACAATAATACTACCTACCTCACAGGAATTTTATGAGGATTAAATGAGTGAATATATGTATGGCTTTTAGATCACTGTCTGACCCAGAGTATGAAGCAATAAGTATAATATTTTATTCTATTAACTTGGAGTGTAAATATTTGTTTTAAATGAATGAAAAATCTGCTTTAGTCAAATCAGATATTGAAGGAAATATATTGTTCATTTCTTAGAATAGCTAGTTCTTACCTGACGCATACTATACATCAAGTACTGTGCTTAGATACTCTTTGTACATTAGTGTTAATCCTCACAAATTGGGTGTTACTCCCATATTATAGATGGGAACACTGAGGCTCAGAATTAAAGTAACTTTTCCACTGTCACAACTAATAAGGAACAGAGCTGGGATTTCTACTCAAAGCATGTATGTTCTTTGTACCATGTCAGCCCAGAGGTTAGTCATTTTTTTTTACTGACATGTAAAATTTTTCAATTTTACTTACTGACATGTGATATGATACATTAGCCAATAATAGTAAAATTAACCAAATTGTCATGATGCTTCTCAAATTGTGGCTTTTATACTCTTGCCTGGAAACTTGTTAAAACACAGATTTCAAGACCCCAAGCCCAGAAGTTCTGAATCTAGCATGGGGCGCTGGACTATTCATTTTTACTAAGTTGGGCTGTGGTTCTCAAAGTAGGGTGTAAACCTACAGTATCAGTATCACTTGGGAACTTGTTGGAAATGCCATCTCTCCTGGGCCCCATCTCAGACCTACTGAATCAGAAACTGTAGGGCTAGAGGCTGGCAGTTACATATACATAAGCCCTCCACTCCAGGTGAGGCTTTTTCATGCTAGTTTGAGAACCTTTACTCTAAAATCTAGGTGATTCTGAGCAGATAATCCTTGGAACATGCTAAGGATTACTGCTGCATAAGTAAGGTATCTTTTAAAGATTTAGATAAAGCATGTTTTAAATAAGTGTAGTTCAAGATTACACTATATTAAATGTAAAAGACTTTAAAGATGATTTAAAGTCAGTGGATCATTTATTTTGGCAAAATTCTTTAGCTCCTTCAGAGTGACCAATATCAGGGGCCACACTGTCAAATTTATAATTCTTCGAGTTTAGGAATTTCACATTGGGGCAGGAAGGGATCATTAAGTAAGTACATACTAATTTATTAAAAGCATACCTAAATGAGTGTCATCACAAATGTTCACAATTGTTAATAAATTTTAAATAGGGATAGCAAAATACTATTCTACAATAAGCAGAATGTTTTTTTGCTAACTTTGACACTATAAAAATTTCATCACTTTGAAGAATCAGTTGACCTACATGACCTTATAAAGCAAAAATACAAGTATTTGATAGAGCACATAAAACCAGATTTCATGATGATAATGACATATTTTAAATTAAGATCTCTGTCATTTGGATAAATGATTTTAATGTGGTCTTAAAACAAGGCTTTGCTATCTTATGTTCTCCATAACAGTATGCTTGTATTTTCAATTGGGAAGTTCATAGATGATGCAAAGCAGATTATTGTCCCAGAGTTAAATTACTTATTTTCGAATACCTTAAATTTCAGAGGAGTTTTTGTTATTGTAAGAAGATTAGAAAATAAATCACCGACCTATTTTGAATATTTTTTGAAATATGGTAATTGGGTTTGGGCATTAAATTTGCTAACTGGTTATTTTCATAATTGTTTTGTTGAGTATTAATTTTTCATTTCCTTGAGCCTATCAAACTACAGGGTATCCCCCAAAAATGTATACACACTTTTTTCTGATAGCTCAATTGATAATTTCAGATTTAACCCATTGGAATGAATAATTATTCAAAATGTGAATACATCTTTTTGAGACATCCTATATATTACCAGATTGAGGTTTGAAAAATCTCTCACTTGATTGATTTAATCAAGTCTGTCATTTTCTCCATTTAAATTTTCATTTTAGAGTATTATGTTTCTGACAGTTTCTGCCTCTTTGTATTGATTGCCCTTCCTTTATTTTCTTTATAACTAATTTCCATTTTCTAACTACTCTTTTTTCCCCCTCTAACGACTCTTAATGCTGCCTTCACAAGGTTAATTTGGTTGTTATTAGTGATTAGAATTTGTATTACTGATAATTTTATACCTATTAACTTTAAGTTTCCTATGAGTTTAGAAGTAAAAAATCTGTCTAAGAATAATGTCTGCTGGCTCTCAGAGTACTTGCCCTAGTTGAAATTCTGCAATTTTAACTAATTCTAGATATATAATTATTAAAGGAAAGTTATTTGGATTCCACCACCACCTCACCCCCCC